AGCCTATGAGAACATGTATTCGTTATAAGTTGTGAACTGTCTAAAATGAATCACGTGGTGATACTATGTCATGGTCAGAGGTTTCTAACTAAGTCAAAGATTGAAACAGACTCTAATACAACGTATGTTTTAGAAGTTATGAACTTTCTGAAAATATGATTAAATCAAATTTTGATACACCACACTATTCAGAAGTTGTGAACTTTCAAAAAGTAAGATAATAATGTGTTGACAACACTTATTATGCAGAAGTTGCAAACTTTTTGAAAGTATGGTGAACAAACTCTAACGCTCTGAAGTGTGAACTGTCTGGAAGCTTAACAAAGTTGATATGTTACTAAGAATTCATTTAAGAAGTTGTGGACTATTTGAAATAATGTCAACATGTTCTTTGGAAACATTTTCTATGTTACCACAAGTCGTTTTAGAAGTTGTAAACTGTCTGAAAGTTTTATAACTAGGTTATGTTATACCATACACTGATACTTCAAAAGTTGTGAACTTTCTAGAAGTATAGTATTTCTGTTGTCAACAAGGAATTGTTCAGAGGTTTTGAACCTTCTGAAGATATGGTCAATAGACATGGTCAGATGACATGGTTAGAAGACATGGTCTAAGACATGTTCAAAAGACATGGTCTAATACATGGTTTAAGACATGTTCGGAAGACATGTTCTAAGACATGGTTTGAGACATGTTCTAAGACATGTTCAGAAGACATGGTATGAGATGTGGTCAGAAGACGTGTTCGAATGATATGGTTAGTCAGGAAATGATTTAGGTTTTGAACCTTATGATGGCATGATGTTGTGCACCTTCTGGTGGCACGACTCTAGTTTTTGGAAGAACTAGTGAATTAGTTCTGCTGTTTGATGCAAGTCATTATGACAATGACTAAACAGGTTCTGTTACTTCATAGTCTTCTGATAGTAAGTCAGATTTTGAGATGAAGACCAGGCATTTCTAGTCAGACTCTGATGAGATGCCAATGGAGAAGTATTCTTTTTCTATGTTACCTTGTGTACTGCAAAATTTATTTTATGAGTCTTGGGCTTAGGGTGAGACTTTGAACAAATATAAATGAGATTTTGAGTATTAATAGATTCAAGGGGAGCTTTTTAGATTTACTGAATTTGTGTTCCATGGTGATTACCCTATATGAATTATTCTAACAAAATACATGGTTTTGTCATCATCAAAAAGGGGGAGATTGTAAGAATAAGATTGGTTCTACATCTGGCCTTAAATTTTGATGATAACTTTACATGTTATCTTAATGAATAATTGTGTACTCTAATGGTTTTTGTCTAGTGTGTAACTTTTTCCAAACAGGTTCTGACTCTGGTAAGAAGGCATGTGACGTCATCAGGTTCTGAACTCAACACTCTGGAAGAATACCTATGTGTGTAACAAGTTAAGTCATGATTTTAAAATGCTTCTTATGCAAAGGGTCTAAGGAGCGTTAGTAACAGAAATTTTAATCGTGACTTATGCAAGGAAGCTTGGGAGGCCTTCTAAAGATTTACTTCTGTTGTTTCAAGTTCTGAAGATGTTGAAGACAAGTTTCTGTTGAACGAGCTCTGAAGATCTGAAAAAATTCTGAAGACTAAGTGCTGAAGACTCTGAAGGAAATGGTTATCTGAACAAGCCCTGAAAAGCTCAAAGACTTAGGTTCTGAAGATACATAGTTCCGATCCTTCTAGAACACGCTTCATCAACAAACAAATCAAAAGCCTCTAAATATGTAGAAGACAAAGATCAAGACTAAGGGATTGTGTCTGATGGTGAGTATAAAAGTACAAAAGTACATTGAGAACTCTACTCTCTAGAGTGGCATAAGGAAAGACCTTTTTGTACTATTGACTACCAGTTTCACCATGACTGCTGGGAACAAAACATAAGTATTTATGTTTCCTATTCTACCCTCGAACGAATTTCGTTCTCAGCTATAAAAGGATTACTTGGAAGAATTTGAAATCAACGAATCAGTTCTACAAAACTACACCAGATCGCTGCACAAACTCTAAAGAGTAATTCTTTGTATAGTTTTGTAAATAATCAAGAATATTTTGTTCGTATCTTGCTATCAACACTTTTGTATTGCTGTACTTAAACATTGTGTAATCTGCTTGTGTAGAAGCAACTTTGTATACACATCTTTTTAATCACTTGTTGTTGATAGGTTCCTTAAGAGGCTATATGTAGTCTGGATTCTCAAGAAAACTTTGGCTTTAGTCATAGTGGATTTGCAACAAGGATCGATAGACTTAATGTGAGTGCTAATAAGCTTGATTATACTTATTATGGTTGTCTGTAATTTGATTGATTATAGGTGATTAAGTCCTTTTGTATAAGACAAATCACCTTGCGGGATGGACTTGAGTGACTTTGTTAATAGTGAACCAGGATAAAAATAATTGTGCATTTATTTCTATTTAATTATTAAGATTTGTATTTGAGTTGTAAAAAGATTATATTTGGTGCAACCCAATTCAACCCCCCGTTTCTTATGTTTCTTGCACCTTCTAAGTCACTTGTATCTTCACCAAGTGCTCCTACTTTTCCTCAAGGGGTACCATTATCATCTTGGTTGTTCAAAAAAAAAAAACCTTTAGGGTATGTCCACACGATGGAACAAAAATAAAATATATTTACCCTTACCTATGTACTCCTTCACCCCGTTACCGTCTTCATGGTCCAAGCGATAAGGATAATAGACTCTAGCGGGCGGAAGCACTCCAAAACCTAAATTACCCTACAATCCAAAGAGGAAAGAACGTGGGAATCCCACCATACAGTAACCTTGGGGTCTAGAGTCCAAGATAAGGGAAACAAGGGCTCGCCTCTTTCTCATACAATGACAATAGATATGTTGCCATGCCCTCTAACTCGTATGAACTTGTGGTTTCAGTTTTATAAAGACTAGTGAAAGGCTTTAAAAAGCACTCCCCCAAAAAGGATGCAGCGTCACCTCGTGTTATACCCCAATTTACCCCCTAAGATCTTCTACCATCCCCATATCATCACAATGCATCAATATCCCATATTAGGGTTGGTTATATCTTCTACTCTCTCTTATCTTTAACTTTGCTCTGAAGAGATCGCGAAGCACCCTAATTGTGTATCTTGTATATTTATGTTTTTATATTTTACTAACCTCTAACCAAAATTCAAAAATATGTCTTGTTTATTATTGCTTCTTTGAGAAGATAAGGTTTCTTATCAGAAAATTCAGGTGATGGTTCTCAAATAGGGTTGTGGGTTGTTCAAGCCCAGGACTGGTTCTCAAAGGCCTATTTTTTTGAGTGGTGATCTATAATCTTAGGCCACGCTATCCTCAAGCTTCATTCAACATGATAAAGGTGAGTTTGGTTGTTTAATTCTCAAGATTCTTTGAGATAGGTTCATGTGTTTATTTCCACGCCTTCTTTGATGAGTAATCTCATGTTCTGACAAGTGCGAACACGGTTTAATCAAGACTTCACCATTTTAGGTTCATATGTGCTTAAGAGTGCCTCGAGTTATGTAGGACGATCAAGTTCGCGAGTTGATCCATTGTTAGACCAAAAGTCAATGTTTTCAAGTTCGAGTTCAAATGAGCATAACTTCTTCATTATTTAGTATTTTTTATAGATTCTTCAAGCATATGAATCTCCTTGACATCATCTCTAATTTCTCTTATTAAGTCGAGAGCTAATTATGTGTAGAAGGCTATCAAAAGGTTGAATACATTAGATGTCACTTTTTTACTTTGCCCTAATTTCAAATGACGTTCTTCCAACTATTGAGGATCATAATTCTTTCAATTTTCATTGTTTTGAGATGATTCCTTTTGCAACGTATCACGAATGGCTTTACCTACAAGTTTTCTTTAAGGGTCGAGGTTAAATTATGCTTAGAAAGTTGCATATTCTATTGGAACATTACAGGTCATTATTGACCTCTAATTTCAATTTACACCATAAGTTTTTAAGGAAATGATTTTTTTTTTTAAAGTAGTGAGCTATGATGTGCGATTTTTTGTTTAAGAATGCATTGAATTCTTTGGAATTAAAGTTGAATCCTTTCATCGTTCAAGGCAATTCTTTTTACAAGTTCAACATGTTTACCAAATTCAACACAACAAGGCATCCATAAACTTCAAATCATAAGAACTTTTAAAAATTTGCAAGACTTTGCAAGTTCTTTCAAGAGAATCTCCTCTCACTCAAAGTTCCTAAATATTTCAAGAGCATGATTCCAAGTTGAAAATTCTAAACTATATGCCATGGTTCAATTTGGTTTAGCATGCAAAAATCAAGATCTTTTACCTCAAGATAGGATCATGTGCTATTCAAATTACATCTCAAGAATCCAAATATCTTTTCCGTAAAAGTTTCAACGATGCAAAAAGGAGTATACAAGTGTCTTTAGACAATCTTTTAAGAACATTTCAAGTCTTTTTCATCAAGAAAGATTCAAAGGAATTTCAAGTCAAGTTCTTCTCAAGGTTCAAAGAAACTTCAACTCACATTCAACTTACAAGGGATTTCAAGCTCTTTATTCAAATTACAAGAGTGTTCAAATTTCTATTTCCATAGATTCAGAAGAAAAATGAAAAAGGTTGAATTAACAATACACTGATGTCTCAATTTCAAAATTTCCTACAAAATCTCAACAATCATCATGATTCTTTTAAACAAAATGTTGACAAGCTCATAACATATAATTTCAAGCCCATTTAGCATTTGAGTTAACCGCAAAATAACAACAAGAATCATAATTTCTTGGACTTAAAGAGGGCATTTTCGGATGGGCTTTAAAGGAGAAAAATGAACATATCTGTTTGAGTAATCTCAACCCAAAAGAGAGTTTTAATCTCAACCCATTCCTTGTTCATAGAAAACCCTAGAATAAACACTATATAACCTTTCAATGAGACTAAAACTGACAGATTCACACACTAAAAAATATACAAGTTCAGAGCCAAATAGAAAAACACCAAAAATCACCTGACCAATTTATCTCTCCGGAAAACATTTATTTCTGGAAATCTCCTTCTGTCCGCCGGAACTCCGCCTTTGGAAGCCGTCAGAAATCATCCAAACCACCTCAGTTAGTCGGAAACCACTGCACGAAGACCGAAAACCATCGTGACAACCCCTCCCTGACTGGAAAACACCGTCAACCTCCTCTGTCTGTCGTTTTGCTTCATCTCCCTCTCAAAAGGTTGATAATAAACTTCTAAACCCGAATCCCTTCTCCTTTTCTTACTTCTTAATTGATTGGTAGATATTTAAACTTGAATTTTCCAAAACCTTATTTTGTAGATCTACTGTGATTCTTAAGAAAATTTCAAAATCAGACTTCAGATTTAAAACTAGGTTGAGAAAACGATTCTTAAAATATAAATTTTTTAAAAGTTCGTACTTTCGTGCGCTGGCGCCGCTGCGAGGCTCGCCGTCTGCCACCGCGCACCACCTTCCCTTCGCTGCGATAGCTCCGACAGCCCACTTTCTCTCTCATTTTCTTTTCTTGTTTTGTTTGTTTTGTAAGAATGAAGATGGTGATGATGCTTCATTTATTTTGTCTTTTCTCCTCTTTGTCTCGAGATTCGCACGGTCAACCAGTGGTGGACAAGTTGATGCCACTTGTTCCATCTGAGAAGATGACCGAAAATTAAATCATGTACATGCCATCCCCATTCTTTTACTGTGTACCTCCAATCTAAGTTCTCTATTGTCATTACTGCATTAAAGTTGACTATAACAGAGGGCTGAGTTTATTATGTTTTAATTTCTTTACTTTCTTTAATTTTAATTCCTTTTTATCTTAAAAAATCGTTTTAAATTTAACTTTTGTCCAAAAATTCCGAAAAAATTCACACAATTCATTTATTTCATTTCTAATCTTGTGTAATTTTTTTAGAACTTAATTTTATTTTTTGTTATTTTTTTAATCATTTTTACTTATTTAAGTGTTTGTAATTAGTTAAAAATATTTTTGTATATTTAAAAATTTCAATAAAAATTGTGAATACTTTAATATTTACTTATGACTCGTATTTATTTTATGATATTTTTTATTGATGTTTATGTACCACTTATGGTATTCATTTATTTAATCTCTTAAAGATCAACTTAAATTTTTATATACTTGTATATACTTTTGTAATTAATTCTGATTTTTCTTTTGGAATGATAATTTCTTCTTATGAGTGATCATTATTGGCTTAAACTTTATGTTTGAAAGCCCAAGGATGATTGATTATTGAATTTTTAATCTGAACCTTTAAAACATGTTGTTAGGAGGCTTTGGTCTTACGAATCCTCTAACAAGTCTTCATTAACTTTGGCTTAAGTTCAACCTTTAATCATCATTGATCATTTACCATGGAGTTAATCTCTCTTTCTCTCTCTTTCTTTTATTGCTTATTTTTGGATCAATTTGGATAATGCATTTGAACTATAAGTTCATCTAATCTTATGGATAGTTGAAAAATCATCTTTTACGACCTAGGTCATGATCTACATTGTTTTACTTGTGCTACATGTTTTAGAAGTATGGTTTTTACCATATCTCTAACATGTAAGGTACATAGATTATTATTGGTTGTGACTTCTATATAAGTCCACTTATGATTGCTTAACATAGCGTTACATCTGTCCTTAATCAAAAACTAACTCTAACATCAACCTTTACTTTATGCAACTTAAATTTCCGCATTTTATTTACCGCTTTTACTTTATGTCATTTACTTTTAGCATTTACATTTCATATACATGTTTATGATTCCACATTTTTCTCTTTGTTCACTTGGAAAAATATTTATGTTTATGTACCTTTTCCTTTTTCCATTTGGACCTTTATTTTGGTGTTTAATTTGTTAATAAGAGAATTAAGACTCATCATCAATGACTATTGGTTACTATCCTTGGCGTGTTAGAATTATGGATTCCTCGAACTTTGATACTTGGAGACCTTGGTACCCTGTTATATTGTCTGAAGTCCTTGGAGTCTCCAAGGCATTGGGTTGAATTTTTTGTGTGCGGGTTATTCTGATTTCTATGCCTTATCTGTGATTGGGAATTCCTCTGTACAAAGTTGTTACTCTGTCCAATTTTTTTTGAAGACTTTGTCTAATTCTTATTTTTCTCTGAGGCGCGAGTTCATCCGAAGCTTATTTCATCTAAGGTTTGGTTTTTATGATGCTTGCTCAATTTTCAATCCAAAGGATGGGAATTCTATGTTGACTTTTTTATGTCAAGTGTTGGCTTTTTGTTGGTTAGACCGTTCTATTCCTTAACTTTTACTTTGTGTACATATGATAGTCCCTTCATCTCCTCTTATATTCTTTAATTTCAAAACATTTCCCCTCCTTGTTAAAACTCTTCTCGTTTTTTCATACTTGAACCACTTTCATAATAAACTTGGACTTTGGTCCATGCATTTACAAAAAAAAATTTCTTAATTAAGCTCTTAATCAATTTAATCATACTTTGACATTTTTTTAGAAGACTAAAAGTTATTAACCTCATTCAAACCAATTTTCCATTTTGGATTTTTATTTTAAAACTTTTTTCAAAAGATTAGACTCTTGTTGATTCTTGTAGTGATGTAAGCCGCTACACTTCTACGATATGTAGTGAAGTGAGCCATTTTACACTTAGGTGTTGATTTATGTCTTGTTGATTTTAAATCCAAGACTATGTCCTCCACTTTGAGATGATGCAAATGCTCCTTTCTCATAATTTTGGGTAGTAAGTATGATTTCCACTCGAATATGACGAGATGTCTCTTCTCTTAAAATTGACCAACATACAAACTTTCAAAAATTTTAAAGAGAACTACGAGTGCCCTGATCCCCTATTTCACGAAATGTGGTACGTAGGCATAAAAGGTTTGCAACCACGGAGGGTGTAAAAATTGTAAAAACCACTTCTTTTCTCATCTTCACCATCTATTTTGTAAATATTTCTTTATAGCCAACATACACAGATTTTCAAAGAGGTTCATGCGAAGTACCATAGATGTTTAGGGTGCTAATATCTTTCTATTGCATAACCAACCCACTTACCTTGATCTCTATTTTACTTAGATTTTTATTCTCTCTTATCCCTTTCCTTTGGATAAAATAACGTGTGGTGACGATTTCATTGATTTTTGCGAGATAAGTCAATCCAATGGCTTAGTCTCAACATTTCTACCGCTACTGAAAATTGGCGACTTCATTGGTAATCGCGACTTTATGAGTCTGTCGGAATTGCTGATTACAAGTGTACAGTCTAATTGCGTAGTTTTAAAAGATATCGAATCCACAAAGACTATTAATAAGACTAATGCTATCTAATGTTATTATGCAATCTAAGGCTTAGAATTAATCTTAGATTTTTGAGGGAAATAGGGAGTAAATTCAAGTTAATAAAATATTCGAAATAAAGGATATCAGTATGTAGTTTGTCTGACTTCAGGGATCCGACTAACCATTGTTTTCTTTTTCTAAAAAAAAATACTTTTCAGTAGAAAATACTAGTTTAATAATCCTTATCTCACACTCTCATGTTTATTGACATAGACTGTATTCTTAAATCTAAATGTTTGCTCTCGCTGTCTCATTTGAATTTAAAAACACTTTTTAGAAACCAATAAAATCTAATTAACCCTACAACGCTCTCGCTGTATTTAGAATCAATGTCCAGTTACTACTATCTGATTAAAAATCTCAAACTCCCGTTGTATTGATTTTAACCTTTGTTGTCTTGTACTCTCGTAACAAAAACTATTTTTTTTAATTGAATTAGAAACCTAAACCAGGAAAGTAGTTTTTAAATATTTAACTAAAAGGTTTTCGAATCCCTTCGGTTAGATTATGTTACATACCGGTATCTAAGGGATTTAGCCGGACATAGCTTTGAAAAGAGACATGTTATACAATGGTTACTCATAAAACATAATATTGTTTCTATAATTTAAATATAAATAAATCTTAAATTAAAAACCTGGAAATAACCTCTAGTAAAAAAAGAATTGACTGCAACTTGAAAATTAATCTTCACGATCATTCACAAGTGTTGGAAGGATTCGCTTCCGAAAGTACATAATTGAAAAAAATAAAATGTAAATATAGACTAATGTTGCAATAGCTCTCTGATATAGAAAACTATCACATTAAAATGGTGATTTTTCTGCTTAGAATCTAGAAAGAAAAGTGCTCTGAATATTGGAAATTCTTTGACCATGTAACTGCCAATCCTTCCTCCTTTTATAGATTGCTTCATTCACGTAACTCCCTCGAGAAAAATCAAGAACAACTTCGTCCGTGAAGATATTTTTGTCATGTCTGGTCTCACGGAGAGAAAATAAGATAAGTGATGGACTCATGGATCTGACATGGGAGAAAAATGGATCTATTATAAAACAACCTGTGGCGGTGGCCATAGGAAGCAAGGCGAGGGCCACAGTCTTAATATTTGTGGCGAGGGCCATAGCCTTATGTGCACATATTTCTTTATTTATTCTCTTACTTCATGTTTAATTGCTCTTTCTTTGCCAATTCCTCTTATTTTCTCATGCAAGCCTCAAGGAGGAAAAACACCTGAAATATGGTAATAATACCAACATAAAATGACATAAATGGCTAAAAACGGTAAAATAATTCTTGTGAGTCGAGTCGGAAATATGATGAAATTTCACGTTATCAGACTCCCCTACACTTGAACCTTTTCTTTTCCTCAAGCAAATAATCATCATGAAGATCAATTTAAAAATGGGTTCGACACAGTTACACTACATAACTCAAATCGTACGTGGTTGTGAGTCATTTTGTTGGAATGATAGATACTCGAATTCAACACTAAGGATACCGTAGTGATAAAAAACCGCAAACACGATAAAAAACTCTCTCCTTAATCCAAATCAGTTTGAATCATTCCATTATAGCTCCATCTATTCTTTCGTTTTATTTTACCCACTTTCATTCGAGCGCAATCATATTAAGCCTTTTATCCTTGCACGCATATAGTAGAGTAGTTGGTTAGTGATTCTGATGCTTAAACATGGGGTTCTGGTGCATGATTTTGGTAACCCCATTATTTAACCAATTTCAAGTTGCGAGGAATCTAACCGTAGTCCGCCCTACCAAGTTCAGCATCAGACACCTCTGAACCAACTAACAACAGATTTTTATGAAAACTTTTGTAGGTTTCACAACCGTTGGATTAAGTGATCGGGTGAGGGTTATCTAACTTAATAGGTGCATTCCCTATTTTTATTAAGTTATGACATATATATATATATATATATATATATATATATATATATATATATATATATATATATATATATATATATATATATATATATATATATATATATATATATATATATATATATATATATATATATATATATATATATATATATATATATATATATATATATATATATATATATATATATATATATATATATATATATATATATATATATATATATATATATATATAAAATTTATGGGATCATCCACTTATATTCATCAACTCCCTACGTAGTTTGTGCTTAAGATGGTACAGACTGCTGGTA